GGTGATCAAATCATTGGACTGTTCCGTTTTGTACGTTTGCCGCACATTCACCAAAATCTAACGTGAACGCTATACTGCTTTGCTATGCCCATGAATGTGCAAGTAATCTGGGGGCAGACTTGCTGCAGCATTACTAATCTTTGTATGATATCCAATGATCTTCACAGTTGGAAGCTTCAAATGTAAATAAACCGGCTTGATGAAACATAAACCTGGTTGTTTCAGACAGCTTTCTCCACACCAATGCTACCAGAATAACGTTGAAAGAATAACGTTAACTGATGCAACAAATATACAACGATGAATTCATCTATAAAAACAAAACAACCCATCAGCCTTGATATAAACTGTGCATTAAGCGAGTCGCCACAATGTTAGAGCTTCCAATTATTTTGCAGCTGGTAGCCATCCTCAAGTTTAAACAAAAGCCAGAAATTCAAATAAGAAATAACCAAAACGGTTATTTTTGGGCAGTCAGACACCAAAGGTGGTCTTGATTTTGCCTGGTAGTCCGGAGCCTCCAAAAGTTACATCGGAAATCTTAAAAGAACCAAAACCCCTCTATAATGCTTGAAGTACGCACCTACTTGCGCCGGTGGTTCCTTATTTCATCCAACTTAGCTCGGAAACTATAGTTTCTTCCATTACTTCCACCTATTGTTGCCGGTACAACACTTCCGCCCCGCAAGAAAACCAGCAGATTTGGGTTAACAGAAGAATATTGGTTATTTTATATCTTTTGTTGCACAGTACGTCAAACAGTAATGGAAGCAGCCTACAGTCTTCAGGTTTACTTAACCTTGCTAATGCTCAAGACAAAAGTAGTCTACCTTCGAACAAAAGATCCGGCTCATTAGAGCTACTCAAAATACAAGATTTGACGTATCCGTGCATAATTATGTCCCTGTGTGCAAAACCCATATTTTCTATGAAATGGTGCAGAGTAGCGTGTTGAAAACGTATCGCGCCGAAGCATCTACAGCTGCATAAAGTGGGTTGTAAATTTCAACGCAGACATGTGTGATCTATATCCTACTGTCATAGTCTTGCCAATGTTTGTAATTTAAAATGAGTAGACTTCAGAAGAGTCTTTAGTTGACTTTGGTGGACTTCTTAAGAGCTTTGAAATTTTCAGAGATTCTACAAACAATGCTGACCTGCCAGCAGCTAAGTCAGGGAAAACTAGTATCACACAAAAACGTGGTGGACCGCATAGCCATGCCCATCATTTGCTAGTTTGCAGAGTTGTTAAACACGTCCTGTGATTGTACATGCAGCAGGAAAGAGCTTCCAGGATCTGATTTTCTACATAAATCTGGTGTAGAAAACGAGGCGCAAAACGATATATATGGCATTGTGTCTACATATGACTGTCTTCGTCCCATTATCACCAAAATATATTTAACGACTGAAAAAAACGATTAAGAGCTCTCTCATGATGTCATAGACTGTCCTGATATCTCCAACAATACCGGGTTGGCTCTGACTGTGCTACTGTCATAAGGTATAGTATAAACCGGGAGATAAAGGACATCTACATACAGAAATATATTTAAGCTAGTAGAGAACTTTAAGAAAGTCCAACACTGAAAACTGTAAAATGTTGGTAATCAGAAGGATACCGGAAGAATATCACAGATTGTTAGACTTTGTCATAGGAAATGTTTTTCTTCGCTCGATAGAAGAATATATTAAACTAATTATTAGATTTAATCTCCTTTTCTTCTACAGAGTAGAAACAAATGTGAGGTTCCGCAAGTTAAAATTCCGCATTTTCGACTTTAACCAAGTCGTAATTCGGTGGCCAAATGACTACCTGGTGTAGTCCATCCTGTTGATAACAAAGTGCCTGCTAGCGTTATTTTAATCCAGGGTTCCCAAGGACTGTACCCGTGGTCACTGACCAGGCATATTCAAGCGGCTGAAGGTGATTTCCCTAGTTTTATAAATTTCCATGTGCAGAACGCCTCGTAAATAAATATAGGGTTCATAAGGAATCTTTATAAATGTACTATTTTTTCGAGTGACAATCCCAACATCACCGTACTTTGCCAAGAATCACAAAAGTTGTCTGCTAAATTTCTTCACTTTTGTGGCACTTACCTTGATGCTCAGGAAGCTGGCTTGTGTTCCTTATTTTAACGGCAGTTGGCTTGATCAACTTTTATCTATAGTGAACACTCTCCAGCATCTGTTGACTTTGGTGTAGTTGTGGATACACTTCTAATTTATGAAACAGCCTTATTTTATGAAAATTGCACCTCATTGAGACGGTTCATGTTAACTTTTACTCAAAACGAAGTCTTAGCAACTCCCCTCCGGGCGGCAAATTCAACGTCGTAAGCTGCACTTACAGGTATAACAGTATTAGGTCTACTGAATGCACATTTGAGATCCAGGCATTCCCATCTACCATTAGCACAGTTTACGGTAACTTTAACTAAACTTGTAAGTGACTTTTCATCTCAACGACGCGCCTAGTCTAATAAGAGTCCACCTTTCCTTTTCTTTAGTGGTCAGCACTCTCAACCCACAGTTACGGTTACCATCTAATGTAGTCAATTTCGTTTCGTTTTGTAATAGTTCGCTTTTTCTTCTTGACACAGTAGGGAGTTTCCATATGCAGCAAGAACAAGCTGTCCTTGTGCAAAACCCGTAAGCGTCAAGATCAAATATAAGCAAATGATAGAAAACTTTTGTGAGTTGTCACAAAAAATGTATGAAAAAGGATTTCAGCCCCCTTAATAGATTCAGGCTTGAAAGCAAACAGTTTCTGCAATCTTAGAATGAGGCGATACGGACGAACCGCGTCCTTACAATTCCTGTCATCCTTAACGTTATAGACACCATTACTTATATATATATATATATATATATATTTGCCAACAACTATTCATCCCTCTCTAGTCTTTATTCTTTCAATTCTGTGTCGCTGCTATTTGGTTATATATTATTTTTATTTATTTTCGGGATGCGTCACTCTTTGTGCACCCTGTACTTTGTCCGTTCGTTAGGTTCTTGGAGTTCCGGCGAATGTTCTTTGGGGCATTTTTCTCTTTTCCTCATATCCAAAGCTTTACCTTGGGTGTCGGCCATTGTTAGCTAGTCCGCATTTTTGGTCATATGATTACGCAACCATAACTGTGAAGGTTTGTGTTTCCAGTTGTTGTGCTCATCCTAAGGGTTGTTGTTGGCCTTCGATACATGGACGGTATGCCGGTTGTTCGTAGTCTAGCAACCTAGCAAAACTCCCAATACCTCTTGGCTCCAAGTAGATTGCTTCAGATTTCAGGAGGCATTGAACCCCTCAGCTTGTGGCGATGCCATTACTGAATGTGCAAGTAAACGAGGATCACACTTAAAATGTTAATCTTGGTCTTATTCACTGAGCCATTTGAAAATATTTCATGTAATATTAGCCAGCTATCCTGTTCGGTTACGTTGGTAGTTCACTTCTTCCCTGTTAACTGCCAGAGGTTTGTTTAGAGCAGCGACTGATAATGAACCAAAGACAGCGTTTTATGATACTGCGTCGGTTGCCGCTTTAGATGGCGACTGAAAGTCGTCGCTTGCAAATTTCCAGTGTCTTGGCAAGAGACCATCTCTCTCTCTTTATCAGCTTTTCCCCTTATCCTTGTGCTTATTTGGTTACTGATATCAGTCGACTTATTTACCTATTCGAAGCGTGGTGATGCTTCGTGTATTTCGCGCCACTGAAAGGGCTCACTCATGTATTTAGTGGTTTTCAGTTTCGCAAACGCCACCTACCTTCATGGAGTCGAATTTCTAGGTGATGCTAATTAATCTCTGTTTGCGGAATCAGTTTGTCAAACTTCTGCGGTCCAAACTTTTCTTGAGATAAACTCATCTGCTTCTGTAGGCTTGTACCATACGCAAATAACAAGCAACTAGAGCAGAAAAGACCTGGTTCCAAGTATATATATATATATATATACATGTNNNATCTGGTCTGGTGGTGTATCTTTGATAGCTAAGGTGTCACAAGTAGGCTCGGCTTACTTCATATATTAGTCTCCGGAGGCAAAGCAAAGGCTACTTCCACTTTCAGGGTGCTCCACTTAATTCGGCTAACTGAAGCACGTGTGAAAATGTAGTAGCTCTATTGGATTCAAGTAAGAACCATATATTAATTAAGATAAATCGTAAAACGTTCTCTACGTTCCCTCATACCACACCAGGTCACTCGAATAGCTGGTAAGCTTACGGTGCGCGATCCTCCACTTATGGGAAAGGGTTTGCTTGGTCAAAACGATTTGAGTATGTTATACATGTACATGCTTTTGCGTTGCCTGCTGATTCAAATCACATCTGTGCTGCAAATACTTTTCAAATTATCCAGGAGTATAAGTGTGTTAAGGCCTAAGAAATCCCCTACTTTTCGAGACGAGAGCCCAGTAAGTCAAGAATGTGCTGGTAAGAACAGCAGAGCAAAGCGGGATACAGAAGCATATAACGTAATTACGAAACCTAATAATCTTGCAAATCTTGTACCACAGATCAGGCGGTGCACAGAGTAACCGATTATTCTGATCTAATATTTTGATCCCAAAAATAATAAGCACCGAGGCACATAGAAACGGGCAAACAGATTCCTTGTGGTTCGTGACATGGATTGCATGATGCGATCAACGAAGTTCGACCAAGCTACCTAGAGATGGACTTTCCTGTAGTTTGAGGGTATCAATTCCATAATACGGTAGCTGATAGTGAATCGTTTCTGTGGTTACAATAGGCGCTATTCGAAATTATTTTGCCACCAAATTTTACGAACTTACACCATCGAATCAACTAGTGAAGATTCGTAAATCTCACCGCTTACACCACACAATAAAACAAAAAATGACGAAGGTCACGAGATAGTGGGAATTTAGTAATTATTAAAGCAAACGTAGTCTCTTGAAATCCTTATTCGAGCTATTTCCGGGCAGTGTAATCCGTATGTCCGGGGTCTCGTTGTGTTGGCACCCAGCATTCGCACAATGGAATTGAATGCTCGAAAGCTGCGACCTGAATACGATGGACTAAAAGTGACAGGCAAGTGAGTTCAGAGTAGGAGTCCAACCATTTGGACCATATCTGGGCATCTCAGGGTCTCACAAATGCTGGGAAAATATCCTACCAGACTTTTTCCGCCAGAGATCTGATTGCTTCTGTGGAAAATGAAATTTAATGGGTGGCAAAAATGAACGTAGATTAGGATGGTTTTGGTGTGAGCACAAACACAACAGAATGCAACACTGTGGTGCAAAAGGTGTATTTGATTACAAAACGTTCTGCAGCTACGAGCAGTGTGCTGTTAACTGGCTCCGTAATCGATTCCAGCGTTCAACCCTTATCTCAGGCTCACCTTTTGTCGCTATCCGATGGGCCAGAGACTTGAGCATGAAGGTTTTGATTTAGCATCTCCGCCATAAGTTACGTTCCCATTGGTAGTTAGAGTATTTTCTCAGAAAGACGAGAATAAAGATGCGGTTTGTTGGCATGCCTGATCCATTAGCCGTTTCAAGTATTGCGGAGGGAGTCGACGAAATGGTGTCTTGCTTGTGCGAAGTCCCTTAAAAATATCGCTGGATAAGTTGGGAACTTTGCTCTCCGAAAGTCTGTTACCTCAGACGTAACTCTGTTTGCCCTCTTATTGTCCAAGAACTGCTGAGCTGATTATTTAGGGTCCCATCCACATGCGTTTGGCAATTGGTGAACATGAACAGAAGATACACAACCGAACCCCAAGGCCTCTTCAAGTCTCTTATCATTCGCCGTGTGTGACAGACTCCCCTAAAATATATTCAGCTGCATCACCACATAGGCCTTCAAAATGTCTTTTGGCAACAGGTTAGGATTTGGCCTTTACTGAAGCATTCTAGAATGAAACCAATATTGGATACCAAAAATTCTACACGTAGTTTATCACTGTGATGATACACAGGTCACGAGTATTCGCAGCGCGCACTCTCATTTTTTGCCGGGTGGCCCTCCGGTTAACAAGGCCTGCTGGTTCCCGCACAACAAGGGTAAACTCTCGGAAAAGTGATACTGGTAGGGGATGTTGACTGCCAGCTTCAGTTCGATTACATGTGGTTGAATTCTAGCTTCGGTAGGAACCCTCCACGTTTGTTGCTTTTTCGTCACTGATTCGGCTTCTCCAATCGGGTTCCGCCAGCCCTCCCACAGTTTGTGCGTACAGCTCATTAGGTCTTCGTGATGGGGGAAATCATGGCTATGAAGTTGCAGGTGGAAACAACCTGAGCACTACCGTTTGCATGATATTTCTGGTGGAAACCGTTCAGCATTACAAAGTACCTCCATGTACGGCGATACTTTTTGACTGGGGGAAAGGAACATCATCAACATTTGCATGAGAGACCAAATGTAAACATTTGATTCATTAAGAGGAGGGTCGTGCACTTTTGAGCATATTTCGAAAACGGTGGGGAGAAATTGCAATCGTAAACTTTCACGAAACAAACCCAAGTTCTGCGTGTCGCCTTCAAATGGAAAAAATGGGTCTCCCAGGCCGGTTTTTAGATTGTTGCTAAATGTGAGACAACTTACTCAGTCAGGGACATATCCCTGTGGAATGCCTCTGTCCACAAGACTGACTCTCCGCCGTCCCAGGTTTACCTAAACCCTTTTTTCAGGTGTAAGTCGTGACATGAATCCCCCTCTGTTTTAAGTCCGTGAAGTTGAAAACTGATTGCTAGAATCGAACCCCTTTTGACAATTAGGGAAGCCGACTTCGAGCCGTCTGATTCTATCGAGTAAATTCATGTCCCTATCCGGAGATTCAAGATGAGTCTACTCCCAAGTTACCGCGTAACGAAATGGATCCAGGTCACTCTACACCACATAGTCGAAAGTCCGATTGAAGAAAATTCATTCCCTACCTCTTCATTCTGCACTAAGCGGTCTAAGGGACAGCATACATTTAGTCGGCCAGGCTCGTCACCCTCGATCATGGTAGCAACATTGAACCACGATAACCTCTCAGCACACTTTCCGGAACAGTAGAAGATTTTAACTGTGGCTCCATCGGTAATAATACCCATTACACCAGGATTTACTTAAAATGATCTTGAGGACTTAACTATCAGCAAACGGTTCACCATTATGTCCGCCAGATATTCAACAAAACGTGCCCTCTTTGCCAGTGAATCACTGAATAATTAGCACCACCATAATGCATCATCTTGTGTACCAAAATTCAAATAATGATGACTCTCCTGCGCATTTAAAGGGGTGCATGAGAAACTGGTGTCTTGAGAGGTAATTCACGGCCTCGGGATCTTGTTGGGCAAACATACGATTATTCGTAGTCCATCGCATTTAATCGGTCCCCGTTGCTCCTAAGCTCATGTCGGTGCAGCGTCCATTGCTTTTCGCCGAAAAACCTTGTTAGATTTTATTCCATGGAAATTCTTATTGTTGCTGTCACCATGACTTCCGAAAATGCAGTCATTCCTCGTAAGTCATCCGCAAATTACAAGCCGCTAACTAGTGATTCCCACTTCATAGGTCCTTATGATCTAGACATTTGGGATGCCGGCCCTGATGGTGAGCGTGGAACCCTCTCGGGGCAATATTAATGATCCATCCTTATAATGGTATAATCTTCCTGGTAAAGCGGATGGGCTTACTCTTGCCACGCTAGCACCATGAGCCACTGAAAACAACTCATCTCATTTGCTCCGGGGACTGCTCACATCTGTGTGGAGCATTCGCAGTTCCTTGGCTAAGAGAAGCGTATGGATCGGTCCATTTATTCCCCTGGGGGAAGAACGAAAGAGGATCGTCCTTTATTGGAACTGCTGTGGAAATATATTTCTGACTGTTTCTGGTCGCTGGACCTTGTAATTACCAAGTTTATCTGGTTTTTGTGGCCTGGATTTGATGGGTGTAGGAGCTTTATTAAACCGCCTAATCTAACCCCCTCATGTTCTTCAGTACAAGTCAGTCTATAACGTTGACTACAGAAGGTTGGTCTCGGTAAAAGTTTCTGCTCCTTTAGTTGCTTTGAAATAGTGAATCAAAACAAACGGCGAAGACGCAATCCCCTTGTTAGAGTTATGCGTTCCAGGCCCGGCGTTAAACTCAGTCGTTCCTCCCCCTACCATGAGAAAGAATATCTTCTGATGTGGTTCCATAAATGAATATTCTACTAAATTTAAGCTTATTGCTGGCGGGTAAAATGACTTTGCTCATTTAGGCATAGACCTTCACTTACAACCCATACTCCGAGCGCTCACCAATCTAATCTATCTATCTTACGAATCTACCAAATTTAACACTGCTGGTGCAGGCAAAAGTCGCGGTCCACAATGGTTTTCACTCGTTCTCAGCACACACAAAGACCACTTGGGCGATTTCAGGTTTGAGTGGAGAGCCTCAGGCGTTTCGTTTAGATTGATCTTCTTGGGTAAAAAAAGAAAGAAACCTGAATATTTCAAAAGAGTGGTGTAACCAACCTGACCATCCGAAATTTGCAGGTGCATCTAAGGTATGCGATGACTAACCGTTCGATTGTCCTGCATGCATGTTATTCCAGAGTCACGTATGCCAACTTTACATGTATCGCAAAGTAAAATCTCTATTTGTAGTCATCGCAAAATCAGCTGGGTCCTGTTTCCCAGCTGGAAACCATTTTCCGAAGTACAGTATTTCCGGCGGCGTTCACCAGGGTTAAGCAGGATCAGATAATCAGAACCACGATTAGGGGCGATGGCCCAACCTATTTATGGACGTCAAATGGTTGTCGACGCGACATAAGCATGGAATGAGAGCAACGCATTGAAGAAGATTGCTCCGCTGCTGCTACTGACTTCGCCGGATCTGAGATGCACGATTCTAACAAGTGGATGCGTCTTCGCCGTTTGTCTTGATTCATTAAATCAAAACGTCAGTTCGGCCGTCAGTCCACTTTACTGACCGATCATAAGACATCCCTTGCTGTTTTTCGTTTGAAGAAAGGAATCCCGGCATATACTGCTAACCGCCTCCATCGATTGGCCACTCTGCGGCTGGGACGTGACTTCAAGATCAAGTACCAGTCATCACTAGCCTCGGACAAGGCGACGCACTGTCGCGAATCATTGATTCAGGTAGACCGGAGCCTGAAGACACCGTCGTGCCAACGATTGCATTGGAACCGGAGGTTAACCAGGTAGTACCAAAGCGATTCGCATCCTCCCAGTGACTGCCGACATGGTCTGCCAGGCTACCGACCAAGACCATGTACTGCAGCAAGTCATTAATTACCACCGCAATCAGTTGCCGTGTACCTGCCCAAAAGACGAACTGAGGACCTACTTCAACTGGCGGGACGCACTCTCATTAGCTGACGGATGCCCTTTGTTTTCAGAACGTGTTGTCATCCCCAAGAGGTCATAACTAGCTGCCATGAACCAATTTCACAAAGGGCACCTGGGAAAAAAAAGGATGAAGGCCCTTGCTCGGAATTACGTCTACTGGCCTTTGATGGACTCCCAGGTCGAGCAAGTCTAAAAATCGTGCCTACGGTGTGCTGCAGCATCCAAGTCGCCCGTGAAGACCCACCTACGGTGGTGGCCACGGCCGATCGAACCCTGGTCTCGCCTTCACTTCGATTATGCGGGTTCAGTGGGTGGTCGACGCTTTTTGGTTGTGGTGGATGCTTACAGCAAATGGCCGGAAATTTTTCGAGTGAACAGTCCCGCAACTGCCACTACACTGCTGGAACTCCGACAGTTGTTCAGTCGCTTTGGAACACCAGAAACTATTGTATCAGACAACGGCAGTTAGTTCACGACGTCGGCGTTCGCAAACTTATATCGGGAGAATGGCATAACACATGTCCGCTCGCCGCTGTTTCATCCACAGTCGAACGGCCAAGTGGAACGCTTTGTTCACTCTCTGAAGTGGGGACTTCGGAAGTCCAGAGGGTAGGGACCAACGAAAAAGATTTTGCAAAGGTTCCTGCTGGCATATCGTGCAACGCCAAACCCCAACTCACCTGATGGAGTATCGCCAGCAGATGCACTGCTCCGAAGGAGACTTCGAACTCCGCATGACACTATCCGGCCACAAAAAAGTATGCTAGTGACCGCAACACCAGAATGGAGGAACAGTTCAACCGGCATCATGAATCAACCGGGTGCTCATTCAGCTAAGGCCAGCGAGTGTTGGTTAGTGACTACAGCGGCAGACACCCTTCGTGGACCCCAGGGCTTATCCTTCGCAAAGCGCTCTACGAAACTCCAGTTGGTCCAGCCATGTGGATACGCCATACGAACCAAGTCCGACCGACAGATACGCAGATCCTGCCCAAACGACCGAGTGATTTGAGACTAGAAATGCTCCGGATACTTTTCATCTCAGCACCATACCAGAAAATCAATCAGTTGCATCGTCGGAGGCCCAGTCTGAGAACGGATTACAACCACGACGCTGGACAGATAGGATCCGCATGCCGGTGAGGCCACTACAAGTGAACCCTCGGCTTCGAAGTTACGTCAACAAACTTCAAGGGGGAGGTGTTGTGCGGAATTCCACACGGATCCCGCTTCACCGCTCGCAGCCAGGTGAAGGCCGAGGAGTTTATCCCACGCAAGATTGGCCAAGAATTCGGGACGCTTGCTGGTCCTGCATCAAGTCGAGATCTGATTGGTCGAAATCTGGACCCAATAGCCAATCATGGCCCAGTATTGGTCGAATGCCGGTTGCTGATGCCGTATCCAGGACGCGTCGGAAGTTCCAGAAAGTTATAGCCGCTTACGCCATATATATGAAGCGATGTACAACTGTTCCTGACTTCGTTTTGGGCGTTAATATATTTTGTGCACACTTGGTGGTTGTTTTGACGTGAACGCTAGCTTGGGAGGCTCAGACCGAGAATTGAGTAGATAAAAATACCGTTACTACAGATAACGAGAACGTTTGACACTGCCAGCATGGTCGTTGGATTCCGAAGATGATCCCAACTCACCATCGGTTAGGTATCAGTGTTCAGCTATCCTACCCCGGATGGCTAACCACTGGTTCGTCAGCCAGGCTGTAGCTATCTATCTCACGTCAGGATAGCTCACTGGTTAAGGTACGGGGCTACTGACCGTAGTTTGAGTCCAACCCTGGCCTTTCGAGTGTTCTTGCCCATGCTTGAATTGCCTGGCCATATTGGCAGCTCTTTCGCTTCATTTGAATTCCACGGTATACCGAAAGGTTTTCAGTTTGGAGAATATTCGACCCAAATTCAAAGCCACAAGTCGAAGGTACTTTTTGCTAGTCTAAAAGCAAATTGAAAGCACGCTGTCTATTTATGGGGTGATAAACAGATGGACGGGAAAGGCCAGAGCAGCTTTTGTGAACCTGTGGTGTAGGCTTGACATCCGTTTCTCCGTCAAGGGTCGAGTTTACAATGCTGCTGTGCGTTCCATATTACTATACGGATCAGAAACCTGGCCGCCGCGCGCCGCGGTCGTCAAAAGACTTTCAGTGTTTGACCATCGATGTTTTCGGAGCATATGCTCCGGGCAATATTGCCCGACTCTGGTGGGAATACCGGATAAGCAATTCTGAATTTAGTCGAATGGTATCCGGGAGAAATAACTCACCGTCGACAGATTAACCGACTACACTGCATAGGCTGCACCGGCTTGGCCACATGTTGCATATGCCAGTCGACCGAATTCCTCCACCACGTGAAGGGTGGAAAGGAACCAGAAGCGGCCAAACAATAACTTGGAATAGAAATATAAAAACCATTACCGGCAAACTCAACTGCACTAGTGATTGCCGTCCTCCTCGATGGGGACTCAGAGGCGGGTCACATCAATTGCTATAGACATTGTCAGACATGGCCCATTCGCGCCCTCAATGACACTCACGCATCCAACCTATTGCCTTCAATACATAGCTCCCTTCCCAATTCCAGTGTACGACACTGGAAATAGGACCCGATCAAAATATGCGCTGCCTTGTGGTCGGTTGTTGCGCGCAGGAAGCTGTAGTTTGCGACGTACATGTACCAGGTTTGTCCAGCAGCAATCCAGAGTAGTATGTGGTCAGCGCAGCAGTAAAATACCTAGACCAATATCCGCCCCAACATGACCAATGCTATAATTTGACATAGTATGTTATATAACTCCTGTCAGTTCTCATTTTGTACTCCTGCTTTTTGGCTAAAAGGACACTAACCTGTCACAGTATCTTCCCCTCATAGCCGCCCTCCTATGTGGATGCTTCATCGGATTCAGTGTTCAGGCCACAAGCTTGGGGCGCGCCTGAAGGGTTCTTACAGCAAAACCCTCAACCATCCAGCTTTTCCCTTCACCATTCATCCATCGCAAACCACCAACCCGAAGATCACTGTATGCGTCTTTTTATCGTTTCATCCCTCTCTAAATGGAAATAGAGTGGTTGGTGTGAATTTTTGAAAGTTCAATCTGCTGACAAAAGCCGCCCCAGCTTTGTACTTCACGATGGTCCCCCCTATGCCAACGGGAGGTTGCATGTTGGGCATGCGTTGAACAAATTTCTGAAGGATATCACCGTACGTTACAAGCTTCTTTGTGGATACAGCGTCGATTTTATTCCTGGTTGGGACTGTCATGGTCTTCCAATTGAACTCAAAGCAATAGAACAAAGTACAAAGTGTACGCCTCAAGAAACGCGGACTCAAGGTAGGTTCCACCTTTGCATATTCAACTTGTCATTAATTTTTCACAGCTTCGCTTGTGGCTCACAAATACATCGATCTCCAGAAGTCGACCTTTATGGACTGGGGTATTTTGGCCGATTGGTCTAAGTACTACAGCACAATGGACCATACGTTTGAGAAATCTGAAATAGACGCTTTTGCAATGCTACATTCGAAGGCATGCCTACTTGGACGCTATTCACTTGCGTTTAGGGGTTTATTTATCGCGATTTACTCCCTGTATACTGGTCCTGCCGAGCGAAGTGAGCGCATAAGCTTGTTACATCTTTCACTTTGTAGAACTGCGCTAGCGGAGTCTGAGCTTGAATACAACTGTGAACACGTGAGCCCCTCCGTGTATATCCGCGTACCTTTATTTGAGCTAAGCCTCCCTTTATCCCGCACAGTATCTGGTTCGTTACGCCCGTATGGTTGATCGAATATATTCCTTTTTCAGGGCTATCCAGTGTCTACGGAGTTGTGTGGACTACCACACCATGGACGCTTCCCGCAAATGAAGCGATAGTTTATGACCCGAATGCAAGGTAAACACCCTTATTCACATGAATGGAAAATTCCGCTCAAGACTTTTAGTCTGTAGAGGTACTGGTTGCACAGTTTAGGTGAATAGCAGTGAAATGTCTTGAAACGGATCTCTGAGCTGATGTTCTGTGTGCTGTCCATGATTGATCTATCCATTTTCTTGCCATTCCCATTTGAACGCAGTTAACTTTACAACGATTGTCTCATATTCGAACAAAAAATATCGTTTGGTTTCACTGGTGTTCATTATGATGGACTAGCCTAAGAATACAATGTATCGATCCCTTAGGTTATTCATTCGCGTGACCCGTTTCTAATCTCCACACCGCAAGTGTCCGGCCTTCCCGATCTTTGAAATAGGACCTTACGGCTAAGATGTCTGTCTACTTATACTAATGTGAACATGCTGATGGCCAAACAGATCATGCACAAGAGTACTAAAAATTATGCGTACCATGTATTTGGGTTTTAGAAATATCCGCACCATATTCAGTGTGGACGAGACCGATTAGGTTGTGCGCTGTGCGTGGCATTTGTTTCAACTAATAATCGGTGCAAAAACAACGCGAGGGGCAGAATTTCTTAACTCGGTGTTTCGAACACCATGGGTGACTCCTATCAGGAGCATAATACTTAGTCACAACGGTTGTTCTGCTTCTGATGGTGAAGCATTCAGTTGAAACTCCGGTGTCAACATCTTCACTTTTCCACCAATTGTCAACCTGAGTTTGGTTCTTGTTTGCTTGGTGTGGGTGCCCTGATAATATTCCAGCCCACGAACAATCATGACACTTACAACTAAAAATACTGTCATGTCACATCGGCCATCGCGTGGTGTCACCAACCAGGTCGCCTTACTTGCCGTATACAGCGTGACGATTAATCGAAAACATGCTACTGATGACGCCTCCCTTATTACACTTTCACGTTTTCCCTATTCTACCCTACACCACCAAAATTTGAGTACTCTCCCCACAGGTCCCAGCACAGGGACTGACCGTTTTGCCCGCCGTGCATCACACTCAGCTTCACCTTCTATACGTCTGACTTCAGTAACAACCCTAAACACTTCGAATTCTGTTTTCAAACCTCGAAGGCCTGTCTGTTTGTTGCCTTTAATGTCCGCACACTGAAGCTACCAGGACAGCTGATGACTGTTGCTCGTTCGCTGGATCCCCTCTGCAATTATGTATGCTGTTTGTCGGAAACAGGAATATAGGACGCAAATGTTGTGATTGAACTGGCTCCCCCTTGCTCTCTTCCAGGTTCCGACTGCGCGCCTCTGGTCATGCAGAGGCCGCCGCAGCGAGTTAGGCCTGACTGGGTACTGTATTGATCTACCGAGTAGAAGCATCTTTTGGTTGTTGGTCTGTTCGAGGTGACATCGTCAGTCCCGCACTGACTGTCACCTCGATTGGTGACAAACTGCCAAGCTCGGCCAACAGATCAACAACCAAACAGTGCACATGAACCACACATATTCCACAACATTGGATACCCTCTGATAGTCGCTGCGCAGTTCGTTTGGCAACGTCTGTAAGAGAACCTCGATGAAGTGAGGTAGATCGCACCCAGTTTATCATGTCTGCTTACGTTCCAACTGACCGTAGCCGTGAATCTTCCAAAGACAGTTTCTATGACATTTTATATACTCTTACAGTGAGCCAAAAGCTTAAACACCGTTGTGGTTTTGGTGACGTGAACGCTCAGGTAGGTAAACTGAGCGCTGGTGAGGCCCATCTGGGTGGTCTTCTTGGACTGGACATGAGACGCACGAACAGTGGAGATCACCTACTTCAGATGTGTGCCGATCACAGACTGTTTCTTTGCAGTACCGCTTTCTGGAACAGCGGAAATCAGCTGACAACGTAGTGCCCACCTACGACTCAGCCCGAATCCAACTCGACGACATCACCGTTATTTATCGGTGGCGAGATTCGATCAGCGTATCTCGTTCCTTCTGGAACACCAGCGTGGACTCCGGTCATGCACTTGTGTGCTGCTGTTTTTCATTGCGCTTTTCTGCTGTACGCAACACGCATATCTTGCTTAGCCATTGGGAAGCTAATGGACACAGAAATCAACCGGCTCCTCGAACGCCTGTCGCAGGTCCGACGGTAGATATAAATAACCATTGGGAAAAGATATCCGAAGCGCCACTCAAAGCCGGAACTTCTTTTTACGGCACAATTCAGCCAACCTCATCCAAATAATGGATTCCTGGTGGGACCATATCTTTGCTGGGAACGTGGTGACAGGTTCCCTCTGGCCTCAACCACAACTCCACCTGATACCAGGTTAAACTGGGTATCTGTGCGTACCGAGAAACTTGTTGGGCCCGAAAGGCCGAAGAAATGGAAGATGCAAAAACTGCTGGAAACGTTCGATTGATCCCTGGAAACTTCTTGTCACCGAAACCTTCAGGCATCAGAATGGCTCCCTGATATCCACCGGTTTGGACCGATGGGCACAGCAATTCAGTTGGCCACCTGCCACCTCCACTCCTGGATCCTGTTCTTCAACAGAATATGGAGTCGCTTTCAGTCCCAAAAGTGTCTACTCAAGCATTATTATGCTGCTGGTCGTGACGACCTTCCATCTGTTCCGTTGAAGGATGGTGGTGAGTTTCTTGGCCATTGCTTGTCCAGGCTGTTTGGGTCCCAGACAGCTGGGGTGAGTCGATAATAGTGCCCATTTTCAAAAATGGTACTCTCAGTGGAGTTGATAACTACGGAGGTGTTACTTTGACTCCTACGGCAGTGAAGCATCGGTGTTGAACACTGATGTCATACTGTCTGTGATGATTATGATGACTTTGACTCCTGTTATAACTAGGCCTCTGGCGTCACTGCTTCTTCGTCGTCATACGGTGTCACGCGAGACCTTGACTCGTGAGATACAAACGGAGTTTCGACTGGGTAGAGGCTGCGTTGACACGTCTTCGCATTCTAGGTCGCCTTACTTGCCGTATACAGCGTGACGATTAATCGAAAACATGCTACTGATGACGCCTCCCTTATTACACTTTCACGTTTTCCCTATTCTACCCTACACCACCAAAATTTGAGTACTCTCCCCACAGGTCCCAGCACAGGGACTGACCGTTTTGCCCGCCGTGCATCACACTCAGCTTCACCTTCTATACGTCTGACTTCAGTAACAACCCTAAACACTTCGAATTCTGTTTTCAAACCTCGAAGGCCTGTCTGTTTGTTGCCTTTAATGTCCGCACACTGAAGCTACCAGGACAGCTGATGACTGTTGCTCGTTCGCTGGATCCCCTCTGCAATTATGTATGCTGTTTGTCGGAAACAGGAATATAGGACGCAAATGTTGTGATTGAACTGGCTCCCCCTTGCTCTCTTCCAGGTTCCGACTGCGCGCCTCTGGTCATGCAGAGGCCGCCGCAGCGAGTTAGGCCTGACTGGGTACTGTATTGATCTACCGAGTAGAAGCATCTTTTGGTTGTTGGTCTGTTCGAGGTGACATCGTCAGTCCCGCACTGACTGTCACCTCGATTGGTGACAAACTGCCAAGCTCGGCCAACAGATCAACAACCAAACAGTGCACATGAACCACACATATTCCACAACATTGGATACCCTCTGATAGTCGCTGCGCAGTTCGTTTGGCAACGTCTGTAAGAGAACCTCGATGAAGTGAGGTAGATCGCACCCAGTTTATCATGTCTGCTTACGTTCCAACTGACCGTAGCCGTGAATCTTCCAAAGACAGTTTCTATGACATTTTATATACTCTTACAGTGAGCCAAAAGCTTAAACACCGTTGTGGTTTTGGTGACGTGAACGCTCAGGTAGGTAAACTGAGCGCTGGTGAGGCCCATCTGGGTGGTCTTCTTGGACTGGACATGAGACGCACGAACAGTGGAGATCACCTACTTCAGATGTGTGCCGATCACAGACTGTTTCTTTGCAGTACCGCTTTCTGGAACAGCGGAAATCAGCTGACAACGTAGTGCCCACCTACGACTCAGCCCGAATCCAACTCGACGACATCACCGTTATTTATCGGTGGCGAGATTCGATCAGCGTATCTCGTTCCTTCTGGAACACCAGCGTGGACTCCGGTCATGCACTTGTGTGCTGCTGTTTTTCATTGCGCTTTTCTGCTGTACGCAACACGCATATCTTGCTTAGCCATTGGGAAGCTAATGGACACAGAAATCAACCGGCTCCTCGAACGCCTGTCGCAGGTCCGATGGTAGATATAAATAACCATTGGGAAAAGATATCCGAAGCGCCACTCAAAGCCGGAACTTCTTTTTACGGCACAATTCAGCCAACCTCATCCAAATAATGGATTCCTGGTGGGACCATATCTTTGCTGGGAACGTGGTGACAGGTTCCCTCTGGCCTCAACCACAACTCCACCTGATACCAGGTTAAACTGGGTATCTGTGCGTACCGAGAAACTTGTTGGGCCCGAAAGGCCGAAGAAATGGAAGATGCAAAAACTGCTGGAAACGTTCGATTGATCCCTGGAAACTTCTTGTCACCGAAACCTCCAGGCATCAGAATGGCTCCCTGATATCCACCGGTTTGGACCGATGGGCACAGCAATTCAGTTGGCCACCTGCCACCTCCACTCTGGATCCTGTTTCTTCAACAGAATATGGAGTCGCTTTCAGTCCCAAAAGTGTCTACTCAAGCATTATTATGCTGCTGGTCGTGACGACCTTCCATCTGTTCCGTTGAAGGATGGTGGTGAGTTTCTTGGCCATTGCTTGTCCAGGCTGTTTGGGTCCCAGACAGCTGGGGTGAGTCGATAATAGTGCCCATTTTCAAAAATGGTACTCTCAGTGGAGTTGATAACTACGGAGGTGTTACTTTGACTCCTACGGCAGTGAAGCATCGGTGTTGAACACTGATGTCATACTGTCTGTGATGATTATGATGACTTTGACTCCTGTTATAACTAGGCCTCTGGCGTCACTGCTTCTTCGTCGTCATACGGTGTCACGCGAGACCTTGACTCGTGAGAT